CTAGTTTTATGCACTAGAACCCACCAGCTGGAGTGGGACAGCTTGCATACTTTAAGTCAGGCACTCTTTGGGCTGCTCTGCACTTGAACCTAAAGGTTTCATTGACTCTGAGTTTCTATGGCCTTCTTATTGAGAGCAGTAATGACTTACAACCTTTTTATCTAAACAGAAATAAATTATTTTCATTGTAAGATACTTCCTCCGTTACAATGCATTACGAACAAATAGCTCCTGAAAGTACCTTCTGTAACCTGGGCACTGACCTGCTGCACTCGCAAGTCATGGAACAGAAACCAGCATCAGGCGAATGCGCACCCAGGACTTAATGGCATTCACAGACAACATCACGGCTAAATTAGTCAGGAAGAACAAAAAGCTCCCCCTTCACACTGCTGTAAGGGAATAATGGGTTGGAAAGCCACCTGGATTGTATTGTAAGACTTTTAACTAGCTGGATGCCATCTTATGCTACTGATTTAGTTATGTGATTATTTAAAAATAAAACCTATTTTACTGTTTATAACTATTTATCTAGTATTTCATTCACTGTTTATGAGCTGCTCTCACTTTTCTGGGGTCATTTCATAGACGCATGTTGCCACAAATTCATTACACTCATGAACTGAGTGGATTTCACTCTGATACCAAACCTGGTTTTACTGGGCAGAACAGATGTTTGGGTTTTTTTTTTTGTTTTATTGTGTTATTACAGTGCCAATATCCTTCCCAGTGCCTGAGGAACAAGTAAAGCACAGTTTTTAGAGAGCCTTTCCGGTGACTACAGTTAGCCCTCCTGTTTCTCCACATTGGCTGTTACACCGTAAATTTTCAAAGAATTACATTGAAAAGGGTGAGCAAGCCACTGCTTTCAATTTCTTAAATTCTCCTTTGCCAGGACTGTTATTGCAACATACAGGGAAGCTGAGCATTCTCCTTTGTGCAAATTTTCAGTTGAACAGATTTCCTAACAAGAACATTGCCCTTGAAGGGAGGCAGGGAGCACAGTCCCCCTTTATTACTATTAGAAACATATCTTCCTTCCATCACTCAGACACAGAAAGCAGGAAAAAGCATTTTTAAAGAAGTGGCACAGAATTAAGAAGGAAAAGGAAATTGTACATACAAAGGTTTAGCAAATAATTAATTGTTTGCATTACGAAACCAGGACCAGTAACTGATCTCACTGCTGAGATTAATTTTGCTTACAAGGAGGAAAAAAAAGAATATTCTTCCCTATGCCAGTCATCCTCTTCCTTGTTTTGAATATTGTTTGTCACTTGCCAAGACATATTCTATTGGGGGTACTTTTATAGTTACACTCCATCATACTGGCCTTGCTTGCTCTGATTGCTGCCAGGATCTTCAACCAACACACTTCAAAGCATGCAGCAGGCTGACGGAAACAACTTCAGATATTATCTAGCTCTCTACAGTGTCCTCGGTATCCTTTCATCCCTTCTCTTATCTGGCTGTGACTTCTCATCTAGGGCTATGACTCCTTTAGTTCTGTCTGGGATCTCCTCCCTCATGCTGCTCTGGTCCCTTTGAGATGCAGCTGTCTTGTTTCTCCATTTTATTACAGCTGGTTGTTCCTTGCTGATTGTTGCTCCCCATGTTATTCTTGCTGCACTCTCTCCTCTTCTGTTGATGCAGCTCTCCAGGGCTATGATTCCTGCTGTCAGTTATTTCTGGTGTGGAAAGGCTGTCACGCTTTTTGCTTTGATTTAACAATTCTCAGATCCACTCTTGTGTTCAACAGGCTATATTTCCTGCTGCACTTGGGATGTAACTACTTTTCCCGTCATCGTGGGAGGACACTATCTCACTTCCAGCTGCACTAGGAAGACATACCCACTCTCTGATGTAACTTGAGAGCCTTGAATCATCGACTAGTACTGTTTACTAATGAACTATCACGACTTCTCATTTTTCTCTATATATTTGTGGCCCTAGTGGAGGATGACACACTATCTAAAGAATGACTAGTATGATGCTTTTGAAAGAGGCAAAACATTACCCTCAACAGCTTAAGTGGAAAAACACTATGTACTGTTTCACCCTGCTTGTGGGACTACCTGAATATCATTCTTCAGGGGTTTCTGTCATGAGATTTCTTAACATGTGCAATCACCGAGGACAAGACAGTGGAAACAAAAAAAATATTCAGCTCCAAGGCACGTAAATAGCATGGTTTCAATGGTCATCTCTGAAGTGCATAGAAAGAGAAAGAATAAGAGCATACCTTTAAAATGACAGCTGAGTGTCTAGCAGAGATGGGCACTTTAATGGTGTCTCACTGATTTATGCTATATTTATGACAGTAAAGACAATGAAATGACAATGACATTCTATGACTGTCATTTCACTGAACAAAAATTAGATGGGATAAAGTTTCATCATTTCAATATCATGCAGAAAATTGTCAAGAGAGAAAAGAGATCACATGGACAATCCATGGTCACAGGGAGCACAAGGTGGACATTTTACAAAAGAATTAAAAGAGAATGAAAAAAAATTTAGGGAAAAGGTACTGCACATAGTGCTAGACTGTCTAAAAATGAACATTTTATTTAAGACAGCAGAAAAGTCCTCACTGATGGTCCCGATCCAAAGTTTACTGGAGTCAACAGAAAAAAACCCAAGAACTTAATACTTGACAGCAATTTAAAAAATCAGTCAGCAAACAACCAAAAAGCCATCCCCAAAACACCAGCAACAATATCCCTCCAGCAGGGCTCATGGTGTGAGGAGGCCTTTGAGTCATCTGAAAATATCTGAGCACATGCCTAACGAGGTAAAAGCTTTCAGTATATTTTACAATTTGGACTTTATTGACATATCATTCATCACAGCATTTATATTGGCAGACTAGAGAGCTAGAAGGATAGGCAAATGTTTTACCTACACAATAAGTGAGCTTGTTTCCCCAGTTGATTTTAAGTGCAAACTATGCATGTATGCATACAAGGTTACATAGGAATGAAACAACATAAAATCTACAACATGTTAAATTTGCTCTAGTTTATCCTCAGAGGGAAACAGTATCAGGTGCTTGGAGGAAGATACAGAAACAGTGAAAAGAGACTCTATGAAGTCAGTTGGGAAAGTTTCTTCCTATTAGATATTGCTTGTATCTAAAACAAAAGGATGAATGGTTACACAGAATAGCAGACAGACAAGTTATCAGACAAGAAAACAAAAAATTCATGAGTGAAGGAGTGGGTCTTTTCATCTCCTCACTTCTTCTTTCATTGCCATTCCTCAGTGGTTTGCTAGATCTGTTAACTGGGTTCAAAATCTACAGGATCAGGCCCTGATATGAACACATTCAATGTCACTTAGGGCTCAGGAAGAGGTGGCCATCAGAAAAGCTGAGCGGAGATACTGCCATACCCACTGGCGTGGCCACTGGTACACTGAAAAAGGCACCTTTAAATGGAGATATACAAGACAGAGTTTGTACTCTAATCTGCACAGGAAAAGCGATCCTGTTAGCCTGCGTAAAATAGCTAACAGTATACAGATGTGTCCTACTGTCCTATTTGTCATTTCAATGTAAATGAGAATTACTTAATGTTTGCAAAGTGTTCATAAGATGAAAAGATAAGTGTCAAGTATTACAGTTTACTGTGTGATATTACTATTATCATATTAATTAGAAAAAATAATTAGCTTGAAATATTAAGATACTGATGTAAGATAAGCTTCTGAATCTACCGAGGTTCAGCTATCATCAGTAAACAGATGATTGAAACATTTAAACAAAGAGAATACTTCAGTATGCTAAAAGCTGCTGGCTATTATAGCTTAATTGACCAAGAGTAATGTTTTCAAAGCCAGCGAAGAGATTTATGAGCAACTCCAGCATTTTAAAATGTTTTCCCAAGTATTTTGTGTCTGCATAGTATGTCCTATGCCTATAACACAGACATACACACACTCACATTTGCCCATCCTTAAGGGTCTAAGATCCTTTCACAGACAAGGATCAGCTTGAATTTATTGCTGAATGGGAAGAGCTGGTAACTATAAAAGAGGATATACCTCTATTCAGCCCAGAATGAGCACTGTCTAAACTGGAGGCTCAGTAGGCAAGTCACTGCTATGCTGCTGCTGTCTTGTCTGACGTCAGGCAGCTAATGATGCAAAGAAACGTTGTTATCAAATACAAGGATGACAGTGAAAAGACTCTTATTACTGAATCGCCAGCAGAGAGCTCCAGTACAGCCTTCATAGCAGAAGGCTGCAGGTAGCAGCCTCTGCGTCACACATCAAGCGCATTTGGTCATGAAGTTGGGGCACCGTATTACACGTCACACCATGTAGCAGATGGTAGCCACCAGCTTTTGGGCCATATGCTAACAGCAAGCCCAGTCATACGATGGAGAAGGTGGAAGCGCGCAGCCCTCTCGCTCCTGTGCAGAAGCTGGTCAGTTCCAAAGCTGGCCAAAAGGCTTTGTATCATTGAAACACAGTTTGAAATTGCCTGAATTTAATATATATTCCTTCACCACCCCACAAAGCAGTTCCTTCACTCTCACTGTCCAGCAATGACTTCAGAGTTTTCACTAGCTGATAGAAAAATTCATATGCATAGAAAAAACAGAAAAAAAAATTACATTGAACTTTAGTACTTGAAAAGTTTTCTAGAGAGTTTAAGTAGGACAAAGACTACACATCCTTCTCCTTTTTAAAGCATCTAACACAATTCAGACACTGACAAAAAATAAATAGTAATAAAAAAACCCAAATCTTCTTGCTGGATTCTGACAACTTCCCAAGTTTATTCATAACATTTAATAACGCTGACTGTGTTGAATATAATTGGCTAAAATCACCGTAGTGTATTCCAAATATATTCCACACATATTAAAGTTTCTCAACTAGTAACCAACTGTGGTGTATGTATTTTTACAATGGTATTTGTTTTACAGATGGATTATGATCTTCTAATAGCTACTGACATACCTATATATACAGAGAGGTTTAGTTAGTCTCACCTTTTTATAGGCGATCCAGTCAAACACCCTGTCAATATCCGTGGCTTGCTGCACCTCTTGGGATACTGGATGTGAACTGGCCAACCCATCCAGCAACATCACTTCATGTAGGACATCTGTCAGAAATCTCTGCTTTTCCTGAAATACAGCACACGCAGCAATATCACAGACAAATACACATTTACAACAATACAGATCAATGCACAGATATCAGAGGCAACCTCTATATGACAGCTGACTAAAATCAGACCTTCTGGTCTGAATGTAAGCCACCACGACCTCCTACAATCTTGAACAGGTATATGGAAGAGACAGGAACCAATTCTAGCATCAGGGATCCCTCTGACTTGAGATCTTTTGCTGCAATGAAACTTGACTGTAATTAAATTAAAGACTATTAAATTAATCAAAATGTATCTGTAGGTGCAGACTGCAATTCTGATCATGACAATTCACTCACACTTACGAGGGGTGGGGAGAGAGGTGAAATGGCATAGTCTTCAATCACAAAAATATATGGATGCTACAAATCATGGAGCTCATTGCATACGCAGGTACAAAAACTTTTGACAGAGATGGGTAAACACAGTCCTTACTGCTTTATTTAGTGAAGTTTAAGTCACTTGGCTCTTAGCGCCAAGTTCACACGGCAGGTCGTCGTGGGACAGGACAATGAACAGGGCCCACAGAAGTGTCACAGCAGATGCCTGCATTGTCTTTCATATTTCTGGTATAGAAATCCTTTCTCCTCAAGAGCGCGTGTGCTCTACAAACTTTGTAACTTCCATCTGAAGGAAACCATTATTATCTCTCTTTACAAGTGGGAAAATAGCTGCATGTCGAAGTTAAATGACATAGTCAAAGTCACAGCCACATCAGAGGCAGGTGCAAACCCAAACAACATCCAACATACTAATTTGTTTCTATACCTTCTATAAATATAGCGGATTGCAGAGGTAAAGTCAAAACTGCTGCATATTTACTCTGGCAGCAACATTAATTAAATGTTCATGTATACTCTATGAACTGTGCTGCACTCACTTGTACAGTGAAACTAGGTAGGACTTTTGCAGCTGAGAAATGACATGCCTTAAAAACTCCTCATATTGCATTCATATAGTTATCTCTAATCCAAAAGACTGTGTCAGGAAAGAAGAGCTTCATTTACTTGTTTTTTCAAGTCACAAATAAATGCAAAGAGTGAATTAAAAATTACGTAAATTTTAAATAAGTTTTTTTCACCTGAAGTGACATATCTCAAACTTTATCTAAATTACAACAGTTCCTGAATTACTGTCAACCTAGTGCCATAATATAAAGAAAGTCTAGGGAGTGATGCATTTTTTTGAAAATCTACCTTGATGTCCATAGATAAAATAACTACACAATTACATAATAAATTCTATGTTTAATTTCTTGGGTGGCAAGGTTTTGGTATCATTGTGTTAATTTAAATTATATTTATAAGACAGACGAAAAGCTCTTCCAGTGCTCACCCATCTGGAAATAAACCTTTATGTTAAAATTCATTAGAGCACAAGAAATGTACCTTGAGCTGATTGTATATTCAGGCAATTAAAAACACGGGATGCAGGAAAGCCAATTACCCAATACGCTCAGTGTTCTCAGCTGGCTGCGTGAGGTAAGGTTTGCGAAGGGAAAGGTAATGACTTGTTCATATTATTGCTCATTTCCAAATTTTCTCAGGCATACACAGTTAGTAACTGCCCTTTTTTTATGGGGAAAAAAGGGTGCAGGGAAACAATTATTATGACAGTCCTACTCATGGGAAAACTGCCGATGTGTAAAGGATTGTAGATGCTTTGGTTACACCTCACTCTCATTCTCTACTGGTCAGTAAGAGCGCCCCAATTTCATTAGATGTATGATATGTAAATACATACAGGTATGAACACACAGAGGTACGGACCTGTCTCCAAATTCAAGTTTGGATATCACAATTGACAAACAGCTGTGGGAGTGGATTGCTACTGTTCGGAATTAACTCAATAAAAGGACCTTTGTTAATCACAAATGAATACTTTAAATACAGAACCTGGAATCAAGGAAATCATCATGTAGGAAACATAAAGTGAAGCTATAAGAAAAAGAATACAAACGGTTTTCTGTTTGTTTCTTTGGTTATCTCCTGAAGGGCTGAAAAGGAGCATTTTAGATTCATGATCGCTCATTCAAGTTACCATGAAAAGTCTTCCTTGAAATTTATGGCAGACCGTCACTCTGGGATACAACTGGAACTAGCTAGTATGCCTCAAAACATGTAAACCTGCATTTCAGTGAGAATTAAGATGGCTTTTGACCTATAAAGCTAAATTTATTGAACTAAAAGGCTTTAAAAACATTTCCCACCTTTCCTTTTATTACAAAGCCTCTGAGAGCAGATTTCAAAAGGAGACTCAAATATAACTGAGTTTGCTGGTTGACAGCAGGCGTGCAGCTTGAAGAGGCAACAGGAAACAAATGCAGAAAGAAACTAAAACTGCCTTAATTATGTTGAAGCAACACTACCTCAGCTATTAAAGTCCTATCAGCACATTAAGGGGAAAAGGCCAATACATGTGACCAAACTGCTTTACACTGATGGAAGGGGGGCTCTCTATTCCCTAATTATTTTACAATACGCAGTACAGTGGAATTGATCTGTTTTAACATGATACCTACAGGACTAAAGAAACACCTAGCACAGAAATTGTAAAGAAAAATCAATCTTGGAATGCATTTAATGAGGCCAGCGAGCTGTCAACACTGTAGGTGACAGGTTCGCAGCTAGACACGAAACAATGACAAAACGTTGTTCAAGATGACCTTCCTCCGAGGCAGTTCAACCGCAAGAGAAAAGCCAAAGACTGTGATCTGCCTGTAAGGAAAAGAGGGCTTCAGGTGAATCTTGAGGCTTTGCTTGGAAACTGTCTGTAGCTGCCTGTGCAGGAGTTGGTGTGACAGCAGCAGAAGCCTAGTCTGAAATAAGGACAGAGATGCTTCCACTCAAATTTGTGTCTTTCTTTAAAGGCAAGCAGGAAGCCCCTCTGCTCCTTATCTTCCTACTGCCCACTTGGAATCCCATCTCTTCATCTCTGCTCAGAGCTTTCCTTGTACTGTCGATAGTCAAAGTCCAGTAGACCAGACCCGTTCGGGGAAGAAAAGACATGCCAATTATTTCTGGTTGCTTTACCTCTTACTCTTGGGAATGCTTCCAGGTGCAGGGACAGAAGTGCTGTTATCAATGAACATGCCTTTCAAAGATTTACATTTTCAGGTTATTTCCTGAACATCTGTGGTCACTAAATTCAAGTATTTGTCTCTTCATAGGAATGACTTCTTTTAATCCTTGCCAAAAAGACTTTGTTTGGTACAAGGCTGTCCTGAAAGACTTATCCCTTCTCTGTGCTCTCCCCTCCTTAGCCAACATTTAGTCATTGTGAAAATTCAAATTTCACTGCTTCAGGTAAAAGCAGCACAAATGTTATGGGTAACAGGGTCAGAAACTTTCCACCTATAGCAATTCTTCCATTTTATGGAAATAATCTGGAGATTTTTTTAATGTGGATCTGTAGTGTTAATCGTTCTCTAGCAAAAAAATCAGGAGTAAAAAACTGGCTAATGACAAGAAAACTTTCTGGTTCTGGTTTATTTTCACCTTGTTCTAGGGAAGATGGTTTATGGAAAGGTAGTGGTCACTCTTTGTATATTTATCTCCAACAGGATGCCCACCTAGTCTACCTCTAAATGGAAAGAAAGCAACTGTGAAATAACATTTTTTGGCAGAAAAAACTGTACCTGCAAGAGCCATTAAAAATTTATTGTGCGTAACAGGGAAACAATGGTGGAATGGAAAGGGGTTGCTGCTGGTGATTTTACAATATCATATTGAGGCATAATGTAAGAGTACAAGTTAGCATGGCAATAATGTAATCCTTAAAGTTCGTCACATAGAAGTAATTTCTAAAAATTAGTATGAAATACCAGGGAAAAGAACTAAAATTAAAAAACTGGAAAACATCCAACAGTGGAAGAAAAGGAATAGCACAATGAAAGCCAAAACTGATAATTACTACGCAGACAAGATCAAAGGCCTCAGTATTAAAGGCATCGCCTTTGTTCTGGGACAGCCATTCAAACAGTTTATGGACTGAGAAATCTACATGAATAAAGCTTAATATTGGTGTGCAAATCTGCAAATTATTTTCCTGACAAATTTGTTGGCAATATCTTCTCCAAAATATAGAGCTTTACTAGCCATCAGGAATACAAAGGAGATAAGTGATCTCTCATGCCTGACAAAACAAGCATTTGCAAGGCGCAATACTTGGGTTTATAGGGAAAGTGCACCCTAGGGAAAAAGAAATAGGGGCAAATTTTGAAGGCAAAGAACACCAGTATATACGCTACCAGCAGTTCAGTTCTAATATAATAAATTTCAGGGTGAAGTTTAACAAACTACAGAGGAATATCATCTATGAGGAAACGTAAGGTTCAGTAAAATACCTTCAGGCCAGAAAAGATCCACTGGGGGCCAAAAGCAAGTTCTTTCTGTCTACATGCTTATAAATACTAAGTTGTCATAGCACAGGAAGTCTCCTGAGCACTTGCAAATGAAAGCAACATTTCTTTCTCTTTCTCTCTTCCCCACAGTAATTTTTTGTAAATAGCTTGAGCAGCTAACAGATTGCTTTTTTTTAAATTCACATCTCTGCATGTGTGCTTCAATTATGTGCATAGTTTGTTGAGGGAGGCCTGCAACACTTCCTACATTTATCAGCTGTGAATATGTCACAGTTCCATGTCTACCTTCATAACCTCTTCATTTTCTGCATGCAGTCAAAGTTCGTGCAAAATTTCTGTCCCTGTGCTTGAGAAATTTTCACACTGACTGACAATTTTTGGTGTTAAAAAGCAACATAAATGTTCTAGCAGTTTGTAGTTAAGGAAGACCAATGGCCTTGAGTATCAGGAAGGAGAATTGGATATGTATTTTCTTTCCAGCGAAGTGCCAAACCAGATATTCATGACCACCTGCTTAAGTTGCCAAGCAGATGGACAGTTGATTTAGAGTTTTTAAGCAATGTCATCAGCTACTTCAACTGCTGTTTCCTCTCACCACTCTGTTTTTCAGGTAT